GCACGCATGCATCCATCTGTTGATGTATTCTTTTCAATACCAAGAGATTATGTTTACCACCAATAGTCTGCTTTCACTTGGCAGCCCCAACAAGTGACCTTTACCATATTGCCACAGTTATTTCTCCCACCCTGAGGCATAATCCAATAAGTAGAATTTAAACAAATAGTCTAAACCAAATTAAGTATAAAAATTGTTCATTGCACTAATGACATTAACCAGGGGTGACTTAAAAAAATTATCTCCACGGCTTAGCACTTATGGCTCAAGTGGCTAAGGCGCCAGCCACATACACCTGAGCTGGCGGGTTCGAATCCAGCCTGGGCCCAAACAACAACGACGGCTGCAACCAAAAAATAGCCAGGCATTGTGGCAGGTGCCTGTAGTCCCAGTTACTTGGGAGGCAGAGGCAGGGGAATCACTTGAGCCCAGGAGTTGGAGGTTGCTGTGAGCTGTAATGCCAGGGCACTCTACCCAGGGTGACAGCTTGAGGCTCTATCCCAAAAAAAAAAAAAAAAAAACTATCTCCATAAGGAACCTTTTTGGGATGATAGAAATATCCTTTATCTTGATCACAGCAGTAGTTACATAAAAATATGTTAATCAAAACTTACACAATAAGGCTGGGCGCAGTGACTCACACCTGTAATCCTAGCACTCTGGGAGGCCCAGGCAAGTAGATTGCTTGAGCTCAGGAGTTTGAGACCAGCCTGAGCAAGAGCAAAACCCTGTCTAAAAATAGCCAGGTATTGTGGTGGGTGCCCACAGCATCTTGGGAGGCTGAGGCAAGAGGATTGTTCAAGGTTGCTGTGAGCTATAATGCCATGACACTCTACCGAGGGCAACAAAGTGAGACTCTGTCTCAAAAAAAAAACTTATACAATAGTACACCTAAGGAAGATAAATTTTACTGTATATAAATTATATCTCAGTAAATCTAATGTACTTTTTAAAAAAAAGAAAGAAAGAAAAAGGCATCTGCACCCTAAAAGTCTGTCTTTCCTCACTAATTTCATGAATAAAAAGGAATGAACCATAAAACAGCAAAAAAAAAAAGCTCAGCAAAGTTTTAGGTAGTGGAGGAGGGAAATTCAGCTAAGACAAAGAAAAATCCTTTGCTTTTGAACACACTATCCAAAAAAGAGAAACAGAAATTAATTGTCGGGCTGGGCATGGTGGCTCATATCTGTAATCCTAGAGGAGACTGAGGCAGGTGGATCACTTGAGTTCATGAGTTTGAGACCAACCTGAGCAAGAGGAAGAGCACTGTTTCTACCAAAAACAGAAAATAATAGCCTGGTGGAGTACTGCATGCCTATAGCCCCAGCTACTCAGGAAATTGAGAGAAGGGAATTACTTGAGCCCAAGAGTTTGAGGTTGCAATGTGCTACGACAACACCACAGCACCCTACCTGGGGCAACAGCAGGACAATTTGTCTCAAAAAAAAAAAGAGAGAGAAGAGAAAATTACTTGCTGTGTTTGAAGTCTGAAGAATACACATCACACATCTGTATTAAATTTGGGTCTCTTCATCAGATTAGTAAAAAGTAATCCAAATTTATGTGGGTCCTTAACAAAAAGATTCTACAGAATTGTGCTGTGCTGCCTGTGGCACTAGCTACATGTGGCCATTTAAATTAATTAAAACTAAATAAAATTAAAAATCAAGTTCTTCAGGTGCACTTGCCACATTTCAAGTGCTCAATAGCCACATGTGGCTAGTGGCCACCATATTGGATTGCAAAGACATAGAATATTTCCATCATCACAGAAAAATCTATAAGACAGCACTGCCTTAAGGGTCAAACAGGTGTAATCATTAAACCCTGTGATTTAATGATTTGAGTATTGAATACAAAATTATATGGCATGTGCCCCTGAGAATTCAGTCACTCATGTTTCTAAAAAATTATTAAAATCATCTTGGGATGATACATATTGTATCTATCCTAATGGTGCTCTACACAAAACCAATGCCTTCTCAGACACCTCAGAGGTAGGTATAAAAATAGAGGTAACTAACCATGGCGTCATGGAGGAAAGTGGACTGCTATCACATTGGCACAAGCTCTATGCACCTATGACAGCCTCCAAATATTTCAAGAAATCCCTGGGGGAGGTTTGCCAGCAAAACAAAACAGTATATTTGTTTTAAGACACCTACTATGATGCTTTGCCTAGAGGTATGGGCTTCCAAGCCATCACTGGTAGGATTGATTATATTGACATCTCCCTCATAAAAGCAAAAAATATATTCTTTTTTGGAGACAGAATCTCACTCTGTTGCCCCAGGCTAGCTAGAGTGCAGTGGCAACATAGCTTACAGCAACCTCAAACTCCTGGGCTCAAGTGATCCTCTTACCTCAGCCTCCTGAGTAGCTGGGACTACAGGCACCCACAACAACGCCAGGCTTGTTATTCTATTTTTTAGTAGAGATATGGTCTCCCTCTGGCTCAGGCTGGTCTCAAACTCCTGAACTCAAGCAATCTACCACCGTTGGCCTTCCAGAGTGCTAAGATTACAGGTGTGATCCTCCACACGTGACCAAAAAATATATTCTTAAACACTTGGTTTTATGCAAATTATAGAACTGCTTTATTAAAAGTGGCCACTGCAGAATCCTCCATTTCTGACTCTTACCCAATAAATTGCTCAGAGACATGATATGGCAGAGAGAGAATATAAATTGTTCCCCAATATCCATAGTCCCATGATTCCTTAGTAGAACTTTCCATTTTAATTGGGCACATGGACTTCAAGAATAAGTACTAGTTTCCCATTCTCCTTTCCAGATTCATGCGGCCACATGACCAAATTCTTCCCAATGAGCTCAAAGTAGAACTGTTGTGCACAACTTCTGGAAAGTGGACTTATAAAGAGAGGGTGGTTCTTATTTCTCCTTCCTGCTGACTGGAATACAAACATGGAAGCTGGAACTCAAGGAGTCACATCTGAGAGGGAAGAGCTATGGTGAGACTGAGGAAACAAAAAGACAGGAAAATCCCAAATCTCTGACACTATTCAACGCTACTCCATTCCTGGGGGTTCTATGTAAGAAAGAAATAAACTTCCATCTTGGTGGGGCTGCTATCATTTTCAAGGTTTTCTGTTTCTCACAGCTGAACATAATCCTTACTAAAACAGAACAAGCACGGACTCATCAAAATATAAAATAGAGCTTGGGATGGGCATGTCACCCCCAAATGTCAGATGTAGCAAAGGGATGGGATGGTTGCCCCAAGTCCCGGTTCGAGACCCTCACCGACAGGTTCCTGGCACGCTGTTTGTCCTCCTGGTGATCACGCCTTGCATGTGCCTTTTCCAACATCATGCCACTCCGTGGCGCTCATTAGTAAGGAGCAAGTGTGATTCTTTCTATTCAGCTGATCGGCGAGCCTCAAAACTCTATCAGGATAAAGAGTATCAGACACTCTTGTATATGTCAATAAGACATTTCTCGCGTTAGGGCCATCGCTAATGATTTCAGAAAAGACCTGCATGGATTATTCGTGGTAATGAGTCAATTACACAATTTAAAAGCAATTATACTTCCCAGGTTCCCATGTTTGAGCTCTATCTACCAGGTGCAAGACTTAGTCTCCTCAAAGCATTTGCAGTAAGAAGAAAATGGCTCGGCTCGGCGCCTATAGCTCAACCAGCTAAGGCGCCAGCCACGTACACCTAAGGTGGCGGGTTCGAATCCCCAGCCCGGACCCGCCAAACAACAATGA